TCTCTGAACGATGGTCTCATCTCCCGACAGCATCTGTAAGAAATGAAAAAGCTAGGATGCTAAAAATCTCAGCATGTTAAAATCTCAGAACTCCTAAAATTCTTAACTGTTTTGCAATGAGAATGCAATACTGACAAAGACTTGATTTTGTATATCAATGTGAAGTTTTCTCATGGTTGCATTAGGGGATGTGAGGATAATCCCTGAGATCCACAACAAACATTCTTGCTCAAGTGCTGGGCAAAGAAGTATAAAGGTTCTGCATTATTAGGACTGAGGACTGCTTTCAAAATGATGACTACGCTCACTTTATTCCACGTAGTCCAAGGAAAGAAAGGTTATTGCAATTTCTAGGTGAACGGGAATAAGTCAGTGGTTCAGCCTCTAAAAATTACTCTAGGGGTGATCAAAGCCAAAATAAGTTGTGTCAACAATGAGAAATAGAAGAAAAAAGAAATTAGGCATAAGCTTAAGTTAAAAAAGAGACACAGTCCTGTACTGGGCTCTGGGGACAGGAGAATTCATATGCCTCAGTCCAATTCAAGGGTTCGGTGTCTTGGCCCTAGCATCAGCTCGGGATTCAATGAACAGGTGAAAATTAGTATACTGTGAGAAATATAATCTACCTCTCCCTGATCGAAGAAAATCTGGTGGATCAATGAAACCCTTAATTCACAGAGATTCTGCCAGATGCAGAAGAAAATTCACTGAAGACTCAATTAAGGCAAACTTAGTTACTGCTTAACAATCCATCATCACACACACACACAGTGGTAGGCAGATTTGTAGTATTTAGTGGGAAGAGTTCTGTGGGCATACCTCAGAGAATAGTGTTCAAAGCTTATAAGCCAACTTTTGTACTTTTGCCAATATTCAAGATTTTCCCAGGTAGAAAACTACAGTTGGACAAACAATAATCTTCTTTAGGATTTCTAATTTTGAAAGTAAACTGTAGCTTTTTACTTATCAATATAGAACCTTGTTCAGATGATCACGGTAAGATCCACTATCTGATAAAGAGAGCTGGAAAATAGCTGCTGAACCAGCCCATCTGAACGCCATACTGCAAATGTAAGCAACAACATAGCCACCATCAGATTTGAGATGACAAATTTAAAAGCTTGATATTTCTGTTGTAGGAACAACGACTGCTGTCCAGGCACAGCTCTCCTGCTGCTAGTGGTCTCTTTTCTTTTCTTGGTAAAGGACATATTGGTGGGATGTTGCAAGGGTTTACCATGGCCCATTTGCCCTTTCTCCATTATCAAAGGCTTTCTTCACAACTGGTGACAAATTTTCAGGACTCAACTTTACCATTCCAGTCTTATCAACTGACACTTTCTGCATGATTATGAGCAGAAGCCTTAGACACCCTGACCTTGCCTACAATTTTTCCAACATTTCAGGGCATTACACATTCTGAAAATCTTTCACCTTTTATTTTAAATTAATGGGAAATTTTCAAAGTCTTACATGAATATTTTATATTTCCTAATATCTGCAGAAAATTGGTACTCATGCATTTGGGCAAATTTTTAATTCCACCACCTGCACCTCCTTCTAGTTCACACATATTACATTCCAATTTGTTTACTCAATACGACCACCCTAACCAAGGGTCTAGTACCTCTTTGATACTTCCTGTGTGAAGGTTAGAAGGGGCACAAATTATGTGGGGTGCATAAACCTACATTAAATATTTGCAATAGCACTGTCTCTTCTGGACAAAGCTTTGATTCTAAGAAGTTAATTAATTAGAAGGCAGTATAGTTATTAGTATGGGGAAGAGAATCAGCTATTTTGGGGTGGGTGCATGATGAAGAGACAGGAAAAATTCCACCAAATGAGAATGGAATGCTTTAGGCCTCTTAGGAGGCATGAATTAAGAAGAAAATAATACTTTGTCTCCTGTACCTACCTCCACTTACTCTCTTGAGTGACTAGTCCTTTGGATATGAAAAGAGCTAGTTTGTGGTAAAGAGTAAAGACCATAATGAAATGGGTTGAAAACCATGAGAGTTTTTTTGTTTCAGGAAAGTAGATTTTGCTTAAAGACAACATGAATTTTTCATTCACTAGATTCTAAAATGCATCCTGTGGCATGTGTTGTGCTTACTGTGCTGGTATCCAAGTTAGACAAGGAAAGGGGGATAGAAAGAAAACATCTGAAGGAGGTAGTTTCTGTACTGAGACTGGCAAAGTCTAAGTAGGTAAAAGGAGGACACCCAAAGGCCAAGGATGAGCTGGAGCAAAAGTGTTGAGGTTGCAGCTAACATAGTTGACAAGCATTTGCCTGGAAGTATCTCAAGATACAGTGAAACATAAAGATACACCAAGGTAGGCAGATGCCAGATGTATAAAGAAATGCCTAAACAAAGTTGAGTTTGTGGGCTTAGAGTTAGAATGGCATTACGTGCCACCCTGAGGACGTATGTTTGTTCTTGGCTGGAAAAAAATTGCAACATTAATTATCAACTAGAAAATATAGTGTAGACTCTTGAGGGCAGGAAATGAAAGCACCAATTGGAATGCTTTGAGAACAGCACATAGAAGACCATAGATAAAATTACTTCTTAAATTCTAACACATGCTGAATATGCCATCTGAGACTAAATCATGTGACTTTTATGATTCCAGGGATGACATAATAGAGACCATGATCCCTGGGCTGGTTCCTGCATTTATCTTCTGTTCCAACCCATCCAAACTTAACACGTTTAATACATTCCAGGATGAACCAGAAACCATTTAGTACTTTTCCCTCTCTCCATGTTTTTTTCTTTTTCCAAATTCTTCCATTTTCTCTTCTACTTACAATAAAATATTTAAATTAACTCCTATATTGTTCCATCAAATGATCATATCAATCA